GCGGGCCGACAGCGTGCACGAAGGTGATTAATTATCCGCTTTAGGATCTCCATTCGGGCTGGATATTTACATTTTCTTTGACGTTCGTGGATAAAGAATAAGAAAAGCTGTAACATTGTTTTGTCGTTGTGCGATAATCGGTATGCTTGGAAACTATATCGTCGCTGCTAGTACGAAAAATTAAGAGGGAGATTTGATTCGTTTAAATGGAGTTGACGAATATTGGTCGTCACGAATATCGTCTACGCGACAATGACGATACGCCAATCTATCACAGATACAATATACCGTCATCGTCTTCCATAAATTTCGTCTGAAAGATCGTCGCGACCGATTAATTGGAAAGAATCTGTCGCGTTCGAGTGACTCGCAAAGTCTCCTAATCTCCGGTGGCTTTTTCTCCGCGAAGCTGCATGTTTATTGCTTCCTCCTTACTCGAACGGGTCTTCCTCGCCTTGTAACCGTTCGCCAAAACATGGCCCAGCGGGCGCTCCTTTTTCTTCGAGCGACATATGGACCTCGTCTCCCGCGAGATCCCATGATCTTGAAAGTGATTTTTTCGTCTTCGTAAACCGGGTACATCTTTCCTCCTCTTCACCGAACCTCGTGACGCGTGCTGTCTCGCTTCTTCCTCGTTCTAACTTTAGACGCTAGAAGGATAGCTTGTTCTCCATGCGTCTTGCAATTTCGCTCGTTTCAGAGTTATTTGCGTGTACGGGGATTCCGACAAAAGTGATGATGTAGACGCCTTACTGGGAACACGGGAACCAGACCGGTCAAACGTCGCGCAGTTAACGCAGAGGCAACGTTAGAAGAATCTAATGCCATTCTCGCGCGACTCGTTCCGTCGTGATCCGCTTAAACGCGTCTCGCGTAGCCTTGAAACCATTTAATCAGCCACTCGAAGAAAGCAAATTCCATTGTTCGCGTCTAACCTTGATATCGAGCTCAATTCGTCCAAGTTTTGTACCGCCGATCGATTGACAGGTAAAAAATAACCGATATGTTCTTATTTATAATAAACACGTCTCGCGAAGGCCCGAAACCATTCGATCGGACGTACACCGAAAGTAAACACCGTCCTTGACGTCTAACCACGATATCGAACGTAATTGATGGAAATTTTGTATCACTGATCGATTGATACGAGAATAACGATTAGAAAAAATTCTGATTTATAATAGACAAGAGTGAAACAAGGACGGTAGAAATTCGCACGTTTATTAAATTCTTTCCCACAACAAGCGATCTAATCCGAGCGGGCATCTGCCGCGGAAAGCTTATCTTCTCTCGATGATCGAATTGAGAGTCCGCGCGCCGAATCCCAATTTCACAGTTGACTTTCGAATTTAATGGAGTCTGGCGGACAGATAAGAGGAAGAATCCCGGGTACCTATAACGCGGTAGGAGAGGACGAAGAGGGTGAAACGACGTAGAAACAGAGGAAAGGAACTCACCGTTGGCTGATGTAGGGGGTTATAGACGCGGGGAGGGGGTTCGCGAGGGCGGGCTGTCGGAGCGTGACAAATTGCTCCGCTAATCTGCGTTAACCAGTCCTTGAACCCCATCATTATCGTCCCTTTATCCCGGTACGGGACACTGGCTGCAAACGAAATCAACCGACGCCGTGGACCGCATACGTCTTCGACCTCCGAAAATCGGAAAAAGCGATCCGATGGACGCGAAGGAAAGTCTGTGGATGGGCGATGAAAGGAGAGAACGGTATAACGAAAGAGCGAGACGATTCCTTGGAGGATCGATCGTGGCGATGAAATCGGGATTACACGATTCTCAGGCCATCCATCTTCCAGGGTGGTCAAGCCACCCATTAAAAGTGCATCAGAGCCAGCCGGCCGATCGGTGAAATCCGTTTCGACTGCTGCTAGCGGCGAACGGTGTCCGCCCCCATGGCAAATCCGGCGACGGAATAATATCGTCGGTTGTTATGATAATCGCGCAGCATCGCGGCGTATCGCGTCGCATCGCGCCAAGCCGCCCAGAAAATTGGCTCTTCTGCATCATAATGACTTCTCTCTCTCCCTCGTTCCCTCATCGTCCCCGCGTTTCATCCCGCCACACTACGCCCTGTCCCCCTTTTGCACATGCCACCTATCGTCGTCGGAGAAGTTCTCTCTCTCTCTCTTTCTCTCCCTCTCTCTCTCTCTCTCTCTCTCTCTCTCTCTCTCTATCATCCCTTCGAAAGACTCGGCGATTCGAAGTCTCCTGGATTTTCCGCTAGATTTCTAGAAAAATTGTAATTACCGGCCGCTACCTCGCCGTTAGATACCGTTAAACGCCACTTCTTGTGTTTTTCTTATCGAGACCGGCTAGATGGTATCGTCGCCGCTCGTTAAGAGACCGATTCCACTGTTGTACCGGTCGAGCCATTGTTCCTAGACTGCGGACGCGTCGCATTGTTCCTGCACGGGGAAATAATATGATAATTGCTCGTATTTTCCCGCTACCTCCTCGCGATAAGGATAACGCGTGCGAAATTTGTGGCCACTTCAAAATAAGAAAGTACAAGCTCCTTCGTAATGGTCGGGGAGGGTCGTTGGAAGATAAAATTCAGAGAATCGCTTTTTAGACAATGGAGCGTAATATAGTGGACTTGTTCAACGGGAGATAATTAGACTACAGCTAACGAGAACAATCGTGTCGAGCCTGCTGTTTAGATCGTCGCTAACGAAAGCAATTTCGACCCCCTACAGTATCCATCAACACCACCGCGATATTTCCAACCCCACTGATTTTAGACAAGTGACCATATGTTTCTAACCTCTGGCTTTGGCTTTTACGAAGCCGTATGTACGAAAAACCGAGATGATTATTCAACTCCTACCATCCATAATCTTGGCTGTCGGCTAATAAAACAAACAGCACCGTTCAATCGAATCGATCACGATCAACCGGCTCGTTTATCTTTCCCCGTTGGCTGAGATTCACACCGATCTCAATATCGTCCGTGGCGTCGAGAACGTTTCTAGGCTTCGATCCAAGAGACACGTCTCGCACGCTCTGCCAACGTCATCATCGGCGGCGATCCAAAGGGGAGTGCGCGCGTATTCCCAGATCGCCGCGCTCGTTGTCAAACTCTGTCATTGTGCTTAATGAGGAAAACCGAAATAAGTGTTCCTGACTGTGTTGACGTCCCCTGTGCCCCCTTACGGTGCCCCTGGGGAAACTACAACCCCCGCGATCGGTTCCCCCGCGTTGGACCCGTGATCATGCTTAATGAAGAAGATCTAAACAAGATAAATGGTTTCGAGAGGTGGTACCGCTATAAAAAGTCGATAAACGCGATAAGAGGCGATTCATTATGGATGCGTTCGAACTTAATTGACCGAGACGCTTTATAACGGTATATGTCGGTGTCGCGTACGATCGATTCGACGATCGTCAATTACCAAGATGCATGGAAGATAGGTCGATCGCATGGCTCCGAGTCGCTGAAAAATTCATCGTCTCGCTTTTTCCCCGAATAATCAGAGAGCAAAGTAACCCGCGAACACGAGATCGGTCAGCATGAAAAACGTAGTAGCACCTGGTGGCCGATGAAAAGAGACGATCGAGGAACAATATAAATTACGTGATTCAATTAGACGCAATCAGTCGGAGCGTACACACATATAGGAAGAGAGAAGGAGAAAGGGAGAGTTGTAGCCTGTGGCTCACGATGTGGAGCTGAAAGATACGAGGCCGGTGGCGGAAATAGGCAAAGAAAGAGGAAGCAAAGGAGGAAAAGAGAGATGATAGTCGGTCGGCGGCCTGTACGACGGGGCAAGAACGATCGCGCGTTAACGAGATACAAATCCCATTACGGCGTAAACCTTCTCGATCCGTCGCCCCCTACGGACTTGCAACCCCCAGGCACAGTGCTAGGCTACGGGCTATGGGCCACGAGCCACGCCAATTCGGATAAAGTTCCACCGTCTCGCTCTTTTTCCTTTGCTGCTCTCCGTGTATCTTCCTCTCTTCTCTACCGATACACCCTGTGCTGCTCCTGTCCTCTCCGTCCGTCTCTTTCAATCGCGCGCCACTGCCAACCTCTCTCCTTCTCTGTCTCTGGTTTTATC